TTATGTACTTTGACGTCGCGAGCATATTTCTTTGGTGTCACGAAACATTACGTTGGCGTCAAGTTTCATTTTGACCGGATTTTGAACAGTAACAATCTCTCGAAAATATATACATATTCCAACAGAAATGCTGTTAAAAATGACAAAGGTTCTTTAAGAAAAACATCGGAAGGTCAAGGTCAACTTTTGTATCGATCAATTCGAAGCAACAACATCCCCCTATCACACAGCTGTGTACCAGCTGTCTCAAAAGAGTGCTGGCGTACATTTACCGGCGAGAGGCCTAGAAAGTCACATAGCGTAAAAATAATTCGAAATGGTGATAAACCAGGTCACATAGCAGCCAAATGTACTCTAGAGGTTTCCAGGAGATCCTAAAAGCATTGCTTAGCGGAAGGGATGAATAATTTGTTGGAATTCTCATGAGGGGTTAACAGGTCGCATCACGCTACAAATACCATTTACGCATGGAAATCTTAGGTGGCAGTAAGCCTTGGTAAGTGACAATAATAACACAATAATTGTAGTCTTTTTTACTGAAAATTATGCATTACTGAACTAACAAATTTCTTAGAACTGCATTTCCTTTTTAGTCAGTAAAGGAAGATTTCCTTGTAATGTCATTTTTAGCTTATGCAAGTTTATGTTGCTGCACACTAGCTGGAATGTACTTGTCAACAACTCGGCATGTGACCTTGAAATCTCCTCAGGGCATTATAAACAGCACGACCTCTTGATAATAAAGAGTTGAATGAAAGACTGAAAAGTGTTTTATGCCATACGAAAGCCAACAGCTGATCTTGCGAGCAAATCTCAAAATAACAAACGTCAAATCACAAACACGGTGATTTCACTATCGATATTTTGGTGACACATATCTCTAAAAATGCGTAATCTTCAATTTCTTCTCAAAATCTCGAAAGCTTTTAGCCTTACTTTCCCTTCTGGTGCAGTTTTCTCGTTAAANAAGCAACAACATCCCCCTATCACACAGCTGTGTACCAGCTGTCTCAAAAGAGTGCTGGCGTACATTTACCAGCGAGAGGCCTAGAAAGTCAAATAGCGTAAAAATAATTCAAAATGGTGATAAACCAGGTCACATAGCAGCCAAATGTACTCTAGAGGTTTCCAGGACATCCTAAAAGCATTGCTTAGCGGAAGGGATGAATAATTTGTTGGAATTCTCATGAAGAGTTAACAGGTCACATCACGCTACAAATACCATTTACGCATGGAAATTTTAGGTGGCAGTAAGCCTTGGTAAGTGACTAATAACACAATAACTGTAGTCTTTTTTACTGGAATTATGCATTACTGAACTGACAAATTTCTTAGAACTGCATTTCCTTTTTAGTCAGTAAAGGAAGATTTCCTCGTAATGTCATTTTTAGCTTATGCAAGTTTATGTTGCTGCACACTAGCTGGAATGTACTTGTCAACAACTCGGCATGTGACCTTGAAATCTCCTCAGGGCATTATAAACAGCACGACCTCTTGATAATAAAGAGTTGAATGAAAGACTGAAAAGTGTTTTATGCCGTACGAAAGCCAACAGCTGATCTTGCGAGCAAATCTCAAAATAACAAACGTCAAATCACAAACGGCGATTTCACTATCGATATTTTGGTGACACATATCTCTAAAAATGCGTAATCTTCAATTTCTTCTCAAAATC